GGTGCGAGCGGGGACCGAGCCCCGCCTGCAGCCCCCGGGGTCACCCCGGCGAGCAGGGGAGAGGAGGGAGGAGGAGGAGAAGAAGAAGCTGCTGGGCTACCACGAAATCTGTTCAGAAACTGCTGGGCTACCACATAATCTGTGGGTCCGCAGCGGTCCAGCTTAATCACAGAATCACAGAATGTCAAGGGTTGGAAGGGACCTCGAAAGACCATCTAGTCCAACCCCCCTGCCAGAGCAGGATCTTAAAGGAAGATTTCTCCTCATGTCCGGAGCATTAAGCAAAATAACACTGCAGAATCGGGGTCATTATTTTGTCCAGCTTTAAAATGTTTCCCTGTTAAAGTGAAAGGTTGGAGTGAGACACAGCGTTCAATACCACTCATACAAAAGAAAAAAAAAAAAGAGACAGGAAAGAAAAAAAGACAGCTCTAACCTTCTCTCGAAAGTATTCACAGATTAATCAATTTACAATTTAAAAACCAGGCAAGGTCAGAAGTACATTAATCCTCAGAAAACTCGGCTGAGTTAGTGGGAGTTTATGTTATTGTGAAATACAAAGTAACAGGTTAAAAAAAGGTACCATTGAATAAATATATACGCACACACTAGAGGCCTGTAATTCTACATTAGTTTGTCAGAAATCTAATAAATCATATGTTCTTAACTCTCCTGGGTTACGGTCTCACCAGAAACCCTCAGTGGAATTACAGCCATACTATAGTATGCAGTTAGCTGTCTCTAGTTATAACACAGAAGTAATACAGAAAAATTGGATTCATAATAAAATTTGGAATTGATGAGGGGAGTCCTGCAGCTGCGAATGGTGAGTTATGCTATTTGTGATAACAATTCCTTTTGAGAGTTCACTGTAACATTAATCATGCATGACAGACTGAGAGTTTTAGGCACTGGAAACGTGTCCTGCAATATTGCTGACATCTACTATTTTTTTTTCACTGTAACTCTTAATAATAAACAAGTACTTCTAGTTTGTAAGTTGTGTAGCTTCATTAAAGCATTCCTTCTAAGGAATGCTAACAAGGAGCATTTATAAACATTGTAAGTATTAAGATTTTAAAGGCATATAACCATTAAAAAGTATGCAATCCAGGTAATAACCTCATCTACAGTTTTCTTATTAACTATTCATACTTAATTTGATTTTACTGGAAGGGTTTTACATTGAATTAATGCATTGACTGATAATTTTGCTATTTAACATCTAATTGACCATGAGGAAAGAAATATCTGAAGACATGAAAAAATAGTAATTAAGTATCTGTCATTGCAATTTATAGTGGGATGAAAAGCATAGGAGTATAAATCATTATGGAGAATATTAATGTGTGCCACTACTGGACAAGGATATATTTGCATGTGTTATGGCCACTGTGAGTTTGCAATTCAGTGTATGGGAGAAAACTTTTTGAAAGCTTGGTTCCCTGGTGTTCCTCTTCTGACATGGGAGGAAGGTTTGCTCTGGCTGGATTAACATCCAGCTTGACTTGAAACACAACTCTAGCTAAAACACCCCTCTCTCTCTCGGCAAATGGATGCAATCACATTGCAAATCAGAGCTGAAAGAAGGGGAAAAAATTAGAGTAAAAAGGAGGCTGAATCAAGGCTAAAATAAACTCTGTATCCTTTTGGGTTTGAGAAAAAGTATCAGCACCGTTTTAGAGTAAACATTTCTTGACACTGATAGCATTGATTTTAATGCACTTAAACACTTTTAATTTGGCAGTTCATTTAAGCTCAGTGGAAGAGAAAATGTTCTCTGTAGTGTCATGGACAGACTGGAAAGAAGAAACAGTGGAGAGATCTGTTTTCATAGAAGCATGCATAGTAGATCTGATTTAGAAGAAGGTTTGTCTCACGATGACAGCAGAAAGTGGGAGCAATTGAAGGTTGCTGTCCTCTCTTCTAGAGCCCTTGGGGACATCCCCAGCATTGCAAACTGTGCAAAGATGTAACCAGTTGCTTATTTGGGTTTTGCAGATCCAAGGCATGCCCTATGGGAACTGCCTACTTCTCAGCGATGGCCCTGTCAATAACAGCACTGGAATCCCTTTCTTTTACGTGTCGCCGAAAGATAACACTGTGGCGGATCTCCTGAAGAATCCTGTGGCTTCTCTGACCCTGCCAGAGGCAGACGGAAATTTCTGCAGGTAACAGAATTTTAACTGCCTGCTACCACCTTCAGTGGGAACAGCGTGCTCCGATCAAAATGCTGGGTCCCCCCACCTTCAGTGTCCTGCTTTTATTTTGTCTCTCATCATCAGGTACAAGCTTCCTTCTTAGGTTTGTTTTGCAGTAAGTTGTCCCAGCAAAGCATGCTAAAGAGAAGCAGAAGTGTCACTGAAGTGTATTGTAGCATCAACAGCTGCAGTGGCTTTCAGCTCACACATTACCATACCTAAATTTTAATCTTTTCTTGGGGGTGCCAGATAAAATCTAGGTGCTCAAGATCCCATTATAGGCTGTGGTGATCTAGTCAATGAAGTCCGTAGAGTTTCCCGAGCTGTCCAAGTCATGGTAAAGCCAACACCTCTGCTTTGCTGAGCAGCTCTGGAGGTCCTACCGACTGCCTTGACGGGGCTTTAGCTCTCCAGGGCATCTCAGGCTCTCAGCTCACAAGTTATACATTCAGGACCATGCCATAATTTCCACCTCTTCAGAGGGTGCAATTGAATAGATACCATGAATTTTTGGCACTTCGTCCATCATAACCAGCCAGTGAATGATCCCACACACAAAGGAAGACAGATCTGAGATTTACTGATATACAGCTGGCTCCAGGTTTGTCTCTCCAGAGACAGTAGTGGGTTGACTTCTTTTTAATCATATGTACAATGAATGACTCCAGATCACTGAAGTTTTACATGTGTAAAATGTATGTATGTAAACTCAAAGCTGATTTGATTTTCCTCTCCATGCTTGCCTCCTTGAAGAAGACATATCTCTGCCATATGCTTGTTTACAGTCAAACACGTGGCAAACTTGGCTGGATCACCCTTGTGTAAAGTGTTATTTCCAAAGACCTCTTTACATGATGAGGTACATGACGTTGAAATTGTGTCAGACAGGACTCTGTTACCAAAGCACATTTTAGCTGATATTCCAAGGAGAGAGACAGAAGAACTGGAAATTACAGGCTGCTTCAGAAAGAAATGGCTCTGAAAGTTTTTACCCCAGCTTAAGGTCCTCTTTGGGGGAGGAGAGGTTTATCTTAAGAACCGGATCCCAGATTTTGCCGGCTTGGGTATAATCCTGTCTCTTGGGCCTTCTAGCTGAGAACAACATTGCTTTTTCAAGCAGTGAATGGCAGCTATAAAGCACAGTACTGTTACACTTGTCTGTGTTTGTCTCCAGGATATGCTGTCTTCTTACTTACATGGTGGCAAAAGGAAAATTTTCTCAGTCCAAGCAATACAAATGATTTCAGGCTGACACACCATTCCCAAGGAATGGAAATCACGGCTTCCTCTTGCAATGTCAGACACCTAATAGGAACCTTTCATTGCAGCATTTGTTAAGGTTTTTGAATGTTTGAGAAGGCCAACAAAGTAGTGAAGTTAACACCAGAATGGTTCTGCTTGCTCCTTAAAATTATTTCATTAAGTATTTTGCATTAATCCTTAATAAATGTATCAGTTCTTTCATAACAGAGCTTATTCCTGTTTTCTGATCTTTTTCATTCAATCAGATAGTGAGTTGAATATCTAAACAAAGTGCTTAAAAATGTGTGTTAAGTCCTATGTCCTAGCACCTACCCAATGCCCTATTTTTAGAGGCCTAAGACTCAGAGCAGCTTCCATTGATGATACCTGCTGGTGTTTGAGCACTTCTGGAGACAACACACCCATTTAGGCACTTAAGTGTGGCCTTTCATCCTTGACTTTAAACATACACTCTTAAAAGTCTTTGCCTTTTAAGTTTTAGCAATGTCACTGCCTGATTTACCTGTTTGGGAAGTATCAATTCACCAACAAAAGAGAAATGCTGCATGATTTATAAAAATATGAATTTCCTATATGTCACAGCCTTTCAAGAATATTTATTCTCTGCCTTTCTATTAAGCAACTATTAGCTTCCAAACCAAACCATGATCCTTTTGTTTCATGTGCCACATATTTGCTGCTGTTTGCCTTACAGCCAGGGAAACCTGGATTCTGCCACCTGACTCTCTAGTCCCCTCTACTGCCCCTCTCTCTGCACTGTCAAGGACCTAAAACTGGGTTTCCAAAAGAGTTTAGGCCAAACTACTTACCAGTGGCCACATCCCTATTCTCCCTCCCTACCATCAGTCATGTTGTCCCCACCTCTGTCTCTTTCTCACATCAGCTCTGGGCTTTGCTTGACCCTAAGTTGAAACATAAATCTGAAGAAAATAAACCCAATGATGAGAAAAAGGTTTTCTGATGGTCCTTCTTCTTTTCATTCAGTGACTGCTGCTGCTCCTGGCCATGCAATCCCACCCCCTCCCTTCAGCTGACCATATGGTGGGCCTATTTTAGCTCAGGAACCCAGCAGAAACCTTTTCCTTTTTTTTTTTTTCCTAACTTGCTGGATGAGATTTCTACCGGGTTACTAACTTGACTCTGCTCTCCAAGATTTGGGTGAATGCAAAGGAGAGGGAAAAGGAGAAAGTGGAGGAAAATAGGACATCCTCATTTTAACATGTATCCATACTGTAAATATTGTTTACTACTGTATTGAGTACACAGATTCAGAGTCTGTGCTCCTTGCGTTATTTATTTTATTCTTACATTCAGTTTGGTTTTCATTATTTCTGGAGTTCTCATCTGGAACAGATGTTGGCTGGCATTAGTGCAAAGAACAAGCAATACAGAGAGTGAAAAGCTCTTTCCTCTTTCTTGAGCTGCAGTTTGTGTTTTTGGTGATAGCTAGGGAAATGTGAGCAAGCTTTGGGGCTGTCTCACAGCTAGAAAGCATGTGGATGCCGAGACTTTAACTTTCTTCTTTCCTTTCCCCCTGTAATCAGGGTCAGAAATGGAGGAGCCTGTCTGGGCCCTGCTAACAATGTTTGGGATGACCAGCACTGAATCAGTGAATCATAGAATGGTTTGGGTTGGAAAAGACCTTAAAGATCATCTAGTTCCAACCCCCTGCCATGGACAGGGACACTTCCCACCAGACCAGGTTGCTCAAAGCCTCCTCTGCTGCTGGTACCAGCATCTTCCCTTCAGGGTGTGCTTTACCTGAGCCATGCAAACAACACGGAGCATCCTTAGTGCAGAGCTTTATGCGGTGGCTCAGGTTTTGGATACCGAGTTTCTTCCTCTTCTTTACTCATGCTATATGAGAGGTTTTACCCTGAGAGACCTCGGGTCCTGTTAGTATTAAAAGAGTATCTGTGAGGTTTTCTTTGCAAGAGAAAATGTCATTTACGTATGGTTTTAATACCAGAAGTTCTGTTGGTCAAGAGCATCATTAATTGTTTTGGCTTCAAAATAATTATACAAAATAGCTAAATGAACGATGGTCTGTGTGACAAAGTTCATGTCCTTGTATGCCAGCAATGTATTTGTAGGTTATTTTCATGTGGATTTTTATTAGAATTTCATTATTAACCTACTCTGGCAAGAATTAAAACAAATGTGAAAACTAGTCGATGCCTGTATTCCTGGGAGTATTTGGCACTCTTCTGAAAAATGCCTCTGACCTGCTGCACACAAAAGAAATCTCTGGTCTTTAGAAAGAAAATATAGCTGACATTTCAATAGTCTTCTTGTATCTAATGAGTATCAACTGACTTGTGTGTCTATACATCAGTTTGATATTAAATTTATTTAGTAGTCATTTTCATTTGTTTTGTTTCAGAACAGACTCAAGTTCCAAACGTTGACAATAAATATTTTCACTTTCAAGGATATGAGGAACACAGAGTGGCCTTTTTGGTGCTCCAGCCTTAACATTTAATCAGCTGGAAAGAAAATTTGCAAAGCCTAAACTAATAAGAGAAATAACATTTAATAACAAAAGAAAGAGAGCTGGCACTAATTGCCAGACATTATAGTGTTGCAGCTACAGCCTGGATTCCTCATCTCTGACCTAGAGATTGCCATTTCCCAGAGGGAGACAGGCTGCACTTCTCTGAAAAGGCTCCCTGATGGCCAGCGTAGAGAAAGCATTTGTTAGCAACTACACGGCATCCTATCTGAAGGCTGATAAATGGATAATAAGAGGCAAGAAAAATTAAATGCTTCAGGGCTATAAATAGACTAAGCTGGCATGTCTATGCCACAGACAAGCTGAAAAGATTGAGTCCCATTCTTACAGCTTTCTGTGGCAGCAAGACTGAGCCCGACATGAAAGAATAGAGCAGCTATTGTTCTAAACACATTTCCCAACACACAGGCTACTCAGAGGATCTCTCTTTCCAAGTAAGCTCCTGGGCCTGCCTCATTACAGCTGCAGTCTGGAAAACAGGCAATTAATTTTAAACGTGTGTCACCTCCTTGACATTAGGTTCAGCACATTCGCAGGGACCAGCTGCATCTTGCTTAGAGAAGGGGTGGTTGCATGGCTGTGGTGAGCTGGTTTTCGCATGAGGGAGGGAGAAAGAAAGAAAAGCCATGAGCATTGGCGTCAGTCCTCCGGTTGTTTTTTCCTTTGCTATTAGTTTGGAGGATGGTGTTTCAAATCCACACTGCAGACTGGGAATGACTTTGAGGGAATCAGATTCCTCTCCTGGTTTATGACCTGTACCAGGGGTGGCTCCATCAGAGCCGTTTTACCCCCAGGGGCTCACCTGCCGTTCGAGGTACAACCAGGCAGATGTCTTCAGTGGATGTAAGCTGGCTCTGTGGGTTTCCTAAACTCTGCATTGAAAAGGCTGATGGGAAGCACTGAGCATCTCCAGTGCCTCTGAGTACCACCAGGCCATGGGAAGAGGAGAGTTAATTCAGTGGGTTAGGGTTCCCACCAAGGGGTGGATCGGCAGTGTTCGTGAACTGCCAGCTTCATTCCTGGGCAATCCTGAGAGAAAATAAACTTGCCATGGGTGGCAGGCGTAACCTTCGAGGTGTCAATTGTTCATCCAACATATGGCTACCCCTGGGTTTGTCGAGTCACTGGGTTTGTCTGTTAATATGAGGATGAATGTAAGAAAGAAATTTAGTACTGCACCTTCACACAAAGAGAA